AACATGGCAACTTATTATACTTCTGCAAATGAAGCCCTACAAGGGAAGGTTAACATTGGTTTGGATCTTACTGTTTTCTTCATAGTGTGAGAAATCCTTTTATTAAGTCCCCTGAATTAATCCACTACAATAACTATGTTTAAAGAGAGAAAGAATGATCACATGAAATGATCACCTTTTAAGCTAATTTAAAAGGTGAAGAAAAGAGAGATAAGAGATAAATATAAAACCTGGGGAAATTCAGATACAAGGAAGGAAGGGGAGAAAGAGAGGGGGGAAGTAGGAAGGGAAAGGAGGGAGGGAAGAGTGGGTTAGGAAACCAGTTAAAAATCATGCAAACGTCCTGGCAGAAAATGATATGAGCTAACACTAAGGTAGAAAAAGTTCAATTTTGGAAACAATTTAAAAAGAAGACAAGTTGGCAGAACTCAATGAATCTAATGTTAATTCTTAAAACTAAGCTCATTTTTAAAACTACAATACACACACCATTGAGAACCTGAGTACAGGCAGTCCTTAAGATGGCTGTGTTAGGTTAAATAGTCTGGATTCTGACGATTGATGCTGCTACTTCCCCACCCTGTGTCACAGATACTCATAACCAGCCTGTAAAGGGACATTTCCTCTTGTTTATTTTAAGGTAGAGCTGCCCATCAGCTAACAGTTCAGTTTTTGTAGCATGACCATCTTTGTCTTTACCCTGGGAATTGTCCACTCACTTATTCAACTGTTTCAGCATATTTTCATTATTACAAAAAAAAAAAAAAATGGGGAATAGAAAAGTTAAAATCCTGAGAGTAATTATGAGAAGTATTTTTCTAATAAACTTAAGTGAGACAAAGATGAAAGTTATTACACATATCAAAATGGCAAATCCTTCAAAGCCAGCCTCAGCAATTTAGCAAGGAGCTAAGCAACTCAGTGAGAACCTGTCTCTAAATTTAAAAAAAATACAAAATAGGGCAGAGGATGTGGCTCAGTTGTCAAGTGCCCCTGAGTTCAATCTCCGGTACCCAACCCTCCAAAAATGGCAAAATTTTGGCCCAAATCAGACCTTTATTGAACTTGAACAGTTCAACCTTTTTAAATTAGGAGGGAATAATCAAAATTATAGAAATTTTAAAGAAAGTAGTATACACTAATTTCTGTGTCTCAGTGGCAAGGGTAATTAGAGATTTTGCAATATATTTGGCTGTCTAGGGTCATCATCCCTTATAACACACAGGCTATGCACAATCTTTGGACCTACTTTCAGGAATGCATCCTTTCAGGAAAGTAGGAAAGACAGTGTCAAACCAGTCATCATGTTTCTGATCAAATACACAAACACATGCAAGGTAAGATTTATTTTTATAAACTGAAAAGCATGAGGCAAAGTTGGTTATTTTTATTGGCATTGGCACTTGCATTCCCAATTCCCTGACACTGTCATTTGCAACCAAAAACATCTAAAAATATAAAGGCAGCTCTTTTATCATTGTGCCTGTCACAGCATGGAACATGGAACATTAATTCACTGGGATTTGGTGTTTCATATGTCCACTTGAAACAGTCTATCTTGTATTTTTTTACACTCCGGACTATTAAATTTGTAGATTATGTCTGGCCAAACTGAAAATTCTCTACTGCCTTCTCCACAAAACTTCATAGGTACAGGGTGACTGTCCCAAACAATTTGTATGCTAAGAAAATATCAACTATCATTCCCTTATTCGTTCTTCTCCCACACTCTCTAGACATTTATTATATAACTACCATGTGCCAGCCACTTGGACAAGGGCTTTCAATAAGGAACAAGGAATTCACCAATCTTTCAGAGATAAACATTCAGATAACAAGGTGATAGATTGCTATATAAAAGTTATCCACAAAGAGCAACAGGACTCATGAGATACCCCTGGGTTAATGTGAGAAAATGAGGAAAAGATCTAGCGGGAAAGTCTGATTTAAACTGTATCTTGAAGGCTACATGAGTAGTAGGTTGTTGGTTAGAAAAGAGGAACAAAGACATTTCCAGCAGAGAGAACAGCACACATAGGTCATAGAGGAGTGAAAGAGCACAATATATTTTGAAAACTCACAAGATCAAGATCTGTGGGGTCTGGGGGGCTGGAGAGGGTTGTAGAGAAACAACCCTCAGAAGAGAGTGCAAAGGGGGTCTCACGTACCACAATAGAGAGGGTGAGCCTTATGCTATAAGCCAGTGTTTCTCCAAACGTGATTCTACCAGATTTCACCTGTAGATGGGCTCAAAACACTGTTTTCTGGCCCTTGCATCTGGGATGAAGCCCTGGAATCGGTATTTTCAGCAAGCACCTGGGTGACACTGATGTTCATAATCCAAAGAGCTACCAATGATTTTTACAGGAGGCCATAATGTGATCATATTTGTATTTTAGAAATACACTTCTGGACAAAGCAGACCATCTTGAAGAAGGCAGATCCATGGCTGCTAAAAGAGCTTGAGGCTTGACTTTGCATTAGAACCACCTGGGGAACTTGTAAAATCATAGATTTTTCACACCTCACCCAAGACTCACTGCATCTGAAGCAAGGTGGAGGGGGCTAGGATTTATATGAGGCTGAACCACATGAAATCTCATTTTTTTAGCTCAAAAATTATCAAATATTGGCAATTTCTCATATCTCGATCCAATATTTTTAACAACACCTCATCCCCGTGTTTCTGATACACATCAACGTCTGAACATAGCTGATGAATTACAAGCAGAGCTAAATGCTTTCCACTTTTTATTAATTACCTCTGTCATTACTCATGATGATTAATGTGCCAAGATAGAAGTTTCATAATTTATGTACCTAAAACAGATGTTTAAAGAAAAATGGGGGAGGGGTCAAAAATGGCTACCAATGAGGTAAGGCAACCAAGTAAAGATTTCAGAGTAAGAAAGAACACTGAAGATTAGCCAGCTCTTTCCCCAACCCCAACACAAGTTTACACATGAGGAAACCAGTGTCTACATGCAGAAGCAACATGCTTATAGTCATACTGAATATTTTATTCAGTTCCTCAACAATATTACTTTCACATGCATTTTAAAAGCTATTGAACTAGGCACTGTGGCCTACACCTGTAAACCTGGTGTCTTGAACAATAGAGGCAGGAGGACCACAAGTTCAAGGTCAGCCTTGGAAACTTAGTGAGACCCTGTCTCAAATTAAAAAGGGCTGGTGACTTAGCTCAGTGATAAAGCGCTCCTGAGTTCAACCCCCACTACCAACAAATAAATAAAAGCAAAAGCTTTTCAAATCATTGTAGTTTAGAAGCATCTAGGATTTAACTTAAAGAGTGCTTAGCATCACATGAAGGAAACCCTAACATACTTGAAATGAGATGGAGGTAGTCATAAGACAAATACTTATGTGCATCCATTTTTAAAATCAAACCAAAGATCTTAAATAATACAAAATCTAGAACAGTGCTTGGAATATAACAGATGCTTAATAAATATTTATTGAGTGAATGAATGACCTCTAAAAAATAAGTTAAAGGAAGTATATTAATGCAAAGCGTTTCTAAGGAAGAGTCCAGGAGGTGAACTGAGTGTAGATTTCCCATCTCCTCACGGGTTCCAAGCACCCTTTCGTGTCCATTATCATTGGTGGTAGTGAAGCTCACAGAGGAGCAGTCTTTAAATCCCATCCAAATAGAAATAATAACTAACACTTACTGATAGCTCATAAAAGTTACTTAATAGCAATACACCCATAGATAACGCTAGCTCTATGCTAAAATAATAACTAGCACTTGCCTACTAGGAGTCAGGCTTGTCAGGACTTTGTGTACATTAACTCATTTAATCCCTGCAACAACCCTCTAGTGTAAGCACTGCTATTATTATTTTGATGTGGATGGAGAGGTTAAGTAACACAAAACCACACAATTGGAAAGTAGCAGAGTGGAGTGTTGAACCCAGGTGACCTGGTCCCCAGAGTTTACCAACCAAACTCTCCAACCCCTCTGTGGGAAACAAAAAGCTGCCTGCAAGCTAACCCCTTGTAGCACTCACGTCAGGAAGATGGCATTTCTGGATAATGAAATTTGGCCCTAGTCTTTTCATCCATAGGAATGAAACATGTTTTATTTGGAAAGACTATACACAAAGTGAGAGCCAGGAATCAACAAAATAAGGCAAGAAGAACCAAGAAGGACTGTTATTATCTGCCTTGACCCAGATGGTTATCACTGCCTATGAATAGAAATAATGACTAATTTGAGCTAATAAAATGCCAAACTTGGACTCCTCCCCTTAAGAATGTGAGTCTTCATGTGAAGACACTTTCAAAAGATGCAGCAAATAAGGAATTTAAAATAAAAAGACCAACACAGGATAAATGTTTTCAAAATAACTAACTATGGCTTGAAGAACTGTCCTTCCAGCACTCCCTGAGGAGCCTAGCGTTCTGAGTAGAACCCTCTGGTACAAGCCATCCAGCCTGACACCCCTAAAGAACACTGAGAATGCAGGAATGGGGAGCATCCTGCAAGCCTGATGAGTTAACTGCACAACCTGAATATCAAGTACTAAAGAAAGAAAAGTTTAGAAAACAAGTCAAGATCCCAGAGAAATGAAGCAGATCTAAAAAGAAGGGCCCAGTTGAAATAGCTTTTCATTCCAGGATTCCAACCCCACCTCCCCAGTCTCCCTTCATCCAGCTATGTCACGGGTCAACATGAAACAAATACAGGCTAGGCAATATAAAGGCAGAAATTATGCAAAATAAAATGCATACTGGAGATGTCTTCCCAGGAAAAAAAAAAATACTTTTAAGAATTCCCTACACTTTCCCATAACAACAAACCATAACAACAAACTGCTGAGACGCACATAAACAACCCCAGACTGCGCCCAATTCACCCCACTTCACATCGTACTAGAGTATCCTGGCTGAGGGATAGGTGCCCTGTGCCCATAAGAAGGCCCCCAGAGTCCGGCCAAGTCCAATGGCCTCTACAGTTGAGTTTGCCTAACTCTTACCCAAGTCCCAAGATCTTGAGATTCTCAGCGCAACCTTTTCCCCCACGGCCTTCGCTCAACGCCAGCCAAGATACAAAATCTGTTCCAAACCCGCGCAGTTAACCTCCAAGCAGTGTCCCAGAAGAAAGCAATACTTGGGAGTCTTCGCTTAGGCGCAGAGGTGGGAGGCGCGGGAAAGAGGTAGGTCGCAAAGTGTTTCCAGACACTGTGTTTTTCGCACCGGAGAAAGTACTCGCGACAAACTTGAACAAGGTCTTCCCTGTCTGGCCCGAGATGCTGGAGGAGGAGGAGGGGAGTAACCCGAGCCGGGGCCGGGATGCGCGCAGTTGCCGCTGCTGCAGCTGCTGCCGCCGGGGCAGTGGCCGCTGAGGGGGTGTCGTTTGGCGCCGCTCTCGGTCCCTATTGCAATAGACAGAATCCTTCTGGCGGGACTCCTTCACCCGGGTCGCAGTTCTCCCCTCTCTGAGCAGCTTCCACCGCTTCGGGTGACCCCGCCAATGGCCGGGTCACGAAGTTGGCAAACCTTTGGGGTCGCCTCAGTGGTTGAACGAAGTGGTGGCAGAGTGTGGTTCTGGTCTTCGTCCTGACCCACTTTCAGTGCGAACCCCTTGTCGAAGTCCACGGAAGGTGTTCTATACACTCTCTAAGGATTTGGGGGACCCGGCCAGCGCCCGAGCGGCCAACTGGAGTGGACGGCGCGTCCCCACTAGTGTCAAGGGAGGGAGGGCAAGTAAGAGAATGAGAAGGGGCAGGTGGCCACGCGGTGCCACCGTGCGCTATGCAGCAGCAAAGTGGTTGTGAACGTAGGTCAGGGAGGTGGGGATGGAGGGCGGAGGGTGAGAGAGCCCGCTTTACAGAGGCGGGCGGGGAAGAAAACTCCCGGGACGCGCAAGAAAATCCCCCCAGGCCCTCTGCGAGGCCTCGCACGGTGATTTCTTGGGGAATGGCTCCCTCTGCCGACTTGGCGAGGAGGCCCCGGGAGACCAGTGATGGAATGTTCCCACCATGCAAATGCTTTATTCACTCAGTGGATTGGACGGGAATCTGCTTCTCAGACTGTCCACCTTTAGCTTCCAGACTGAAGAATTTCCCCAACTCTAGACGACCCAGAAAGATACCAGCCTCTCTAACTGCTAGAAAGTTCTTTCTTATTATTTCTTATACTAATTATACACACACCCCCTCCAAAAAAAAAAAAAAGACTGGCTTGGCCCCATAGTCACACCAAATAATCCTCTCCTACCAGGCTTCTTTTCTTCATGTTAATGTGAGCGCTCTCTCTCTCTCTCCCTCCCTCCCTCCGTCCCTCCCTCCCTCCGTCCCTCCCTTTTTTAAGAAAGATCTCAAGTGCATGTGTCCCTAGTCAGTAACCACTCCTGGCAAATAGTCTGGACTCCGATTTACGTTTGAATAAACGCATATAAAGAATGAATGAGCATATTCATCGTGTGAACAGAAATGAACATGTTTGAAACCTATCCGTATCCTCCTGGCTCTCCCCTGGAAACACACTGGGGAAGACCGTTTCTGCGGGTGAGGTAGTTGGTTGGTTTAGAGACGTCATTGCCGGTTCTCTGGTAACAGTACCTACGTTTGTCTTTGGGTTACCACATCTGCCACACAGTACAGTCTAAGTGGGAAGGTCGTTTAGGATGGTTTGGTTTTGCCCTGCTCAGAAGTGGGCACCTCACCTAAACTAGCCCCTCATGCCTTCCCTGCCAGAAACCTGAAAGTTGATCAGAAAAGTCAAAGAGAGATCAACCTAGAGCTGATTGATCCATATCAAGGATATCAGTAAGTAGTTTATTACCCAAAGTCATCCTGTTTTTGCTTTATAAAATTTGTTCTCTGCTTTCCTTTGGATGTTTTAATTGGCTTTATTGGAACAAAATTAATGTACATTCCATATATTCTCATATGAAGTGCACAATCTGATGAGTTTCCAACAATGTTCACACCTGTGACCACTACCCCAATCAAGATAATGGACAATTACATTTCCCCTAAGATGCTCTTTGAAGTCAATCCTCCACCTCATACCACTCTAGGTCCACTGAGTTATTTTTATAACTACAGATTTATCTTTTCCAGAATTTCATGTGAATAAAATAATATTATGCATATTCCTTCATTCGGCATGTTTTTGAAATTTATCCTGTTGTTTTGCCTGTATCCAATTTTTTGATCCTTTTTATTGCTGAGTTGTACTCCATGAGTACAACACCATTTGCCCATTTACCAAATGTTGATGGACATTGAGGTTGTTTCCACTATAGGGGCATTATGAATAAAGCTGCTAGGAACATTCTTATACATGTTCTTTGTGGACATATGTTGTGGTTTCTCTTCTCTCATAGGAGTGGAATTAATAGTTCATACACAAATGTGTGTTTAACTGTAGAATAGACTGTTGAACAGATTTCTTAAATGGTAATATCAATTTACATTCCCATCAGCAATGCATGAGAGTTATTCTATATCCTCTGCAAAAACTTGGTATTTGCTCTTTTTATTTAGTCATTCTTTTGGCTATGTAGAGGTATCTCATTGTAATTTAAATTTTCATTTCCTTAATAGTAATAACGGAGAGCATCAAAAATGTTTACTACCATTAAATTTATTTTAAAAATTTATTTCATGTGCTTTTTTGACATTTGTTCTTTGGTAAAGTGTCCAAATTTTTGCTCGATCTTTAATTGAGTCATTTGTATTCTTGTTATTGGGTTAAAGGAGTTCTTTATATATTTTAAATACTAGGCCTTTGTCATACACACACACCCTCACACACACACACACACACACACACACACCCATATATATACATATTTCTTATAAGGTATCTTTCTTAAAGGTATCTTTCAAGCAATAGTTTTGCATTTTGATAAAATTCAATTTATTAATTTCTCTGTTTTGTGGTTGTACTTGTTATATAATCTGAATAATCTTTGCTTACTGCAAGGTCATGAACTAATATAAGTCAATTTTTGTGCATGGTATGAGGTAAAGACTGAGGTTCATTATTGTTAACATGCATATGCAGTTGTTTCCTCACTATTTGTTTATAAATTAACTTTTTTCTATTGAATGAATTTGCTACCTTTAGTGAAAATCAATTGACCATATGTGAGTGTGTTTATTTTTAGTCTCACTATTCCTTTCATTTGATCTATATTTTTATTCTTTTACCAATACCCTACTGACTTGATTATTACAACTTTATAATAAAACTCCAACTTTGATAAAAATAAGTTTTCCGACTTTGCTCCTCTTTTTCCCAAAATTTGTTTAGCCCTTCTACTTTGTTGTTGCATTGGTCTGGCTTATCTCTTCCGTATGATTTCAGAATTAATTTGTCAATGTTTTAAAAACTCACTTTTGAAATTGAGAGTGCTTTGGATCAATTGACAATTTTGTTTTACTTCTGTTAGTTTGCTCACCTTTTTTTTTCTACTGACCAATTTAGGAGCAATGACATGTGAATGATATTGAATTCTCCAATCTATGAACATGTTATGTACCTCCAACTAATTTATATATTAACTTACCTCTCAATATTTTATAGATTTTAGCATAGCAATTTTGCACATATGTAAATGTTATCCCATTTTTTTTATATTTGATGCTATTGTAAATGGAATTATTTTTTAATTTTAGTTTCCAATTGTGCAATGCTAGTATAGAGAAATAACATGGATTTTTAATATAGTGGTTATACTTTGCAACTTGGCTAAATTTACTTAGTTCTAGTAGCTTTCAAGGAATCTTTAGGATTTTCCACATGTAAATAAATACAGTTTTACCTTTTATAAAATAATTTCCTGCAGTGTTGGGGTTAGAAACAGGGCCTCATGTATGCTAGGTGAGCATTCTACCACTAAGCTATATTCCCACCCCCTTTTTAAAATTTATTTTAAGACAATATCTCACTAAATTACTCCAATTTACTTGCAATCTTCCTGCCTCAGCCTCCTGAGTAGCTGAGAAAACAGGTGTGCTCCACCAGGACCAGCCAGTTATACTTATTTCCTAGCCTTATTGCAGTGGGTAGGATAATCAGTATCGTGTTTCATAAACTGGTAATAGTTAATATCTTAGCATTGTTATTCATCTTAGGTCAAAAGCAGTCTCTTATCATTAGTATGTTGTATGTTTCATAAATCCCCTTTATTGGCTAAGAAAGTTTCTTTCTATTCGTACTTCATTAAAAGTTGCTTATTTTACCATAAATAACTTTCTAATTTTGTCAAATGTTTTTCTGCATCAATTGAAACTATTTTATTATTTCTCTCTTTTTTTGTGTGTTGGTCGATTGAATTAATTGGTAAACCTTCCTTGAATTGTATTAATTGTATTAAAGTCTGCTAGGTCAATGTGCATTATACCCTTATTTGAAACTAAAGACTGGTCCTTTGAATAGGTGGGGAAAAAATGGATGAACCTCCAACCAAGTAAAGAACAAAAATACAAACAAATGTTCTAACTGAATATAGACACAAAAACCCTGAATAAAATTTTAGCAAATCAAATTTTAAAATATAAATAAATAAAAATAGGAGAGGCCATTGCAGAATGTAAGCTTATAAATATGGCAGATGATTAACTTTTTTTTTACTTCATTCAATCCTAATAATGACCAGAGGTATGTGTCCTTATTTCTTTTTCACAGGTAAGAAATAAAAGACTCAGAGAGATCAATTAACTTACTCCTGATCACAAAGCTAGTAAGAGGCAGAGGCAGGGCTGACCCCAGCTGATTTCAAAGCTTAGGCTCTCTCCACCACTTCACCTCTCTCAGAACTACCTTGATCTATTCTGGTCTTCTGATTACCCACCATGTTTCTTTAGAGTTCATTGGTGTGCTATGTCTATTTATTTTTCCCCATGGAATTTGAAGATATGCTCAGTATAGTTTGATTTTTCTTAGACAGAATCTTTGCTTAGGAGACTTAGGATCTCTTGGGTAAATGCAGTTTCATCTCTCCTCAACACAAACGCAGGCAAGACTGGCATAGGTCATAGCTCTAATCACAGATGGGGAGAAGTGGAAAAGTGGAGTTCTTGGCCCGGGAGGGCCCCCTCCTTCCTCTTGTAGATTTTCTTTACACTCACTTTTCCAGGATGATGCTTGTCCAGCTTTTTTAAAAGATTGCTCTCTTGGGGCTGTATCTCAGTGGTAAAGTGCTCGTTCAATCCCCAGTACCTCAAAAAACAGTGAAAAAAACCACTCTCTTTTAAAGGTATTGGGTTTAGAAAGGGAGGAGAGGGCAAAGGATAAGGAAATAATATTTGTGGCACTTGACCCTCTAACAGAAACTGTGGATAATTTTCTTTCTCCTTTATGTAGCACATCTCCACAGATAGAAGGGAATCCTGGTAGTCTTATGAAGAAGGGCAGGCAACAAAGGGATCCATATGCAGTTGTTCATTCCCCTAGTTCAGTGTTTTCTTTTTAATTTTTAAAATGTGATCCACAGTGAGAAGTACATCTATCATCCTGACCAAATTCATTTCTTCATATGTATAATGATTACAGCAAGTTTCATGAAACAACAGTTACTATTCACAATGTACTCTGATGGTTTCTGTACCAGTGCTTCTTGACAGTTAATGTGCACATTAATTCGTTAGGAAGTGCCGCAGTCTGTCTGGCTGCAGCAAACTAGCCGGGGGATGACGAATAACTTGTGTACTTGATACAGCAGGAGTGGGAGCCGTTTATTGCA